CACACACATACACACACATACACACACATACACACACAGGTGTTGGTACATTTTCTGAATCCAGGTGTGAACTGGTTCCAGGTGAGGGTTGGAAGTCGGCTCGTCTTCAGGGTTCATCACTTCAACACATCCTCCAACCGATGGACTTCACCCTCCACCTGGCAAAGTGCATGGTGGCCAAAGACGCCCGGATGCCCAGGTAACACTCACCTGTGGACACCAGCCATGACTCTGACTCACCCACTGACCTTTCTGTTGACTCTGACTTTGCTGTTCACTCACTTGTGTCTCAGGTTCAAGGTGTCTGGCGAACTGCCGCTGCTTCATGTGAAGATTTCGGATCAGAAAATCCAGAACGTTTATGAGCTGGTCAACAGCATCCCCCTGCCAGACATGGGCTCCTCCCCCTCCACCCCCACTGAGAAGGTACAGTTGGTACAGTCCGCTCTCACTCAGAAATCAAACTGTTGTCGTGATGCTTTTAAAGTTCAGCCCATCAGTCTGTCTGCGGGGGAGTTCAGGGGAGTTCAGGGGAGTCACGGAGGTGGAGGGGGGCAGTGACTGGGAACATTAGGAGCCATGAGGGGGAGAGTGTTTGATTGACAGGTGACTGCAGCAGTGATGTCATATTTCCTCCTGCAGGTTCTGTCATTGGCTGAGGTCAGACCACGAGCGTTCAGTCTACCCCCCGCCCTCCTGGACACCTTGGGAACAGGTTGGTGCTTCCTGCGTTGTGATTGGCTGCAGATGTTCCTGTAGCGACTGTTCGTGTGTTCGTGTTTGATCCATTCATCTTTTTTTCAGACTCTGATGAAGACGTCAGTGAGAAGTCGACGGATGAAGACCTGCAGCGCACGGCTCTGGAGGAACTGATCGACGTTCACTTCCAGTTTGAAGTCAGAGAGGTGCGTTTGGCTCCTCTGTCTCTGGGTGAGTGTCAGCCACGCGACTCATGTTGTGTAACGGGGACCTCTGGTGGTGCGTTCAGGTGCTGTTGGAGCTGACGCGGCAGGTGGACGAGGAGAAGACCGTCTTGTCCTTCAGTGTCTGTCAGCTCGGAGCTGAAGGGAAGAGGCGGAGCTTCGACCTGAGCGTCACCTCATACCTGCGCAGCGTCACACTTGACTACTGTGGAGGTCAGAACTGTAACCAATGTTTTTCGTCTGAAAGTCAACTGAGGTCAAGAAGGTGGAGACTGCTGTTACCATAGAAACAGCCAAAAGTAAACACACAGGAGGTTTTGTGTGTGTGTGTTGTGTATTTATGTGTATATGTGTTTCAGACGACAGGACTCGTCCTCTCCACCTCATCAGTTCTTCAGAGCAGCAGAGTTCAAACCTGCTGAAGGTCGAATTCATCAAGGTGAGAATCAACAAGTCACATGATCTCAGGTGGATCAGGTGTGTGTGTCTTTTAATGTGTGTGTGTGTGTGTGT